ATGAACAGCAGCAGCAGCAGCAGCAGCAGGATAAAAGGGGAAAGACACAATTGGATTTAAAAGTGAAAACGAAACGAAAAGACGCAGGAAGTGGAAAGTGGAGAAAGAAATGGAGGAAATGAAAAGTGGAAAACAAAAAAGAATGAAGAAAAAAGAATAAAAATGAAAAACATAAAACAAAACAAGACAAAATAAAATAAAATAGAATTAAAAGGAACTAAAAAGGATTAAAAATAAACAAAAAGAAGCAAAAAATGGAAAAATGGAAAAAACTGAAAAGTGGGACGCGCGGGGAGCTGAGGTGTATGTACACCCCACGCCACCTGCCTCGGGAGATGCAGCAGCAGCAGCAGCAGCAGCAGCTTTTTTGAAAATGAAATTAAAAAGACTTTTATTAATTCCAATTAACTTCGATAAACCCTCGAAGAACTGGAAATCCAGAAAGACAGATCCTGCTGCTGCGCGCAGCTGCTGCAGCAGCAGCGGCAGCTGCAGCAGCAGCAAATAAAACACAAACGAACGCCCCAGATATATGCACGCGGAAAAACCTGCACGCAAACCCTAAACCCTAAACCCTAAACCCTAAACCCTCAATAGCCCTAAACCCTAAACCCTCAATAGCCCTAAACCCCCAGTAAGCCTAAACCCTAAGCCGTAGGAAAAACGAGATTCGCAGTGGCCCTTCAAAACCCTAAACAACCCACACCCTAATCAATCCTAAACCCTAAACCCTAAACCCTAAACCCTAAACCCTCGGAGACGGTACCTGCTGGGTAGAGCTGCTGCTGGAAAAACAGCCACTGTCTGTACACCTCAGCATAAGGGCGAAAAGGCGGAAAGCCAGGTGCTGCTGCTCTGCTGCACAAGCCGCTGTTGCTGCTGCTGCTGCTGCCGTTGCTGCTGCTGCTGTTGCTGCTGGGATGGACCCTTCCAAAACGAACGTCCCCGGCGCTCTCTGCTGCTGCTGCAGCTTCCTGCTGCTGCTGCTGCTGCCGCTGCTGGTGGCTGCTTTTCTTTGATCCCACTGCAGCAGCAGCTGCTGCTGCGCTCGCTGCTGCTGCCCCTGCTGCTGCTGCAGCTTCCGTTGCTGCTGCTGCTGCTGCAGGTGGCTTCAAATCGAGGACCTCGAAAGCAGCAGCAGCAGCAAGTGCCATCTGCTCCAGCACCTGCTGCAGCTGTTGCTGCTTCTGCTGCTGCTGCGTCTGCCGCTGCTGCTGCTGCTGTTCCTGCTGCTGCTGCTGCTGCTGCTGCTGCGGGGTACCCAGCAAGGAGGCCTCAGCCTCATCGTATAGGGAAGCCCCTTCAGGAGGGTGTACATACACCCCAGGCACAGCAGCAGCAGCTCTTGCTGCTGCTGCCTTTGCTTCCCACTCCTCCCCGCTGCTGCTGCTGCTGCCGCTGCTGCTGCTGCTGCTGCCAGAAGCAGCAGCAGCGGGAGCTGCAGCAGCAGCAGCAGCAGGTTGCTGCTGGGGCGTTATGAGGCCGTTTTCGACGAGGTGTCTGTACAGCGCGCTGCTGCTGTCGGTGCTGAGCTGCTGCAGCAGCAGCAGCAGCAGCTCCAGCACACAAGGCCTCTCACTTGCTGCTTCCCAAGTGCCCGAAAGAGCAGCAGCAGCAGCAAAAGCAGCAGCACTTAGTGGCGGCAGCAGCGGATAAGCAGGAGAAGGCCGAAAGGGAGGCGCCGGCTGCAGCACAGATTCAGCAACCAGACTGCTGCTGCTGCTGCTGCTGCTGCTCTCACTGCTGCCGCTACTGCTGCTTGCGGCAGCAGCAGCAGCTGGAGTTGGTGCTGCTGCAGCTGCCGCAGCAGCTGCTGCTGCTGGGGAGTTTGAAGAAGCGCCTTTACCTTGCTGCGCCGGAGGCAGTCCTTCCAGCTGCTGCTGCTGCTGCAGCTGCTTCTCCTGCTGCTGCTGCATTTTGCTAATGAAAAAGATGCAGCTACGAGCAGATCATGCTCCCATGGCTGACAGCAGCTGCCCTTGCTGCTGCTGCTGCAGCAGCAGCTGCTGCTGTTGCTTCTGCCGCTGCTTCTGGAGCAAATCAGGCTGCTGCTGCTTTGTTGCTGCTGCAGAAGCGCTTCAGTGGCGCCCTGCTGCGGCTACCAGTGCTGCAGCAGCTGCTGCTGCTGCAGCTGCCGCAGCTTTAGGAGCCTTCGCCTGATTGTTTGCCCCTCTCGTTGCTGCTGCTGCTCCTGCTGCAGCTCACAGCAAACAACCTCTGCTGCTTCTGCTGCTGCTAAGAAAGAATTCTGGCCCAACTGATGCATAGAGCGCAGCAGCTGAGGTGAACGTACACCCGAAACGAGGCTCTGCTGCAGCAGCAGCAGCAGCAACAGCAGCAGCAGCAGCAGCTAGGTGCTCCTGCTGCTCTTTTATTCCCTTTTTGTTTACAAAAAATGAAAACAAATTCAAAAACAAAACTAAAAACAAAAAAAAGAAATGCAGCAAAAGTGCACTCAGTGTCGAGACACTCACAGAGGGGCCCCTGTGGGCCCCAAACC